GACGTGCACATCAGTCAACTCGTGCGCGTCAGTCAGCTCCAAGTGACCGGACGCATTCGTCGGTCAGTTCCTTCAGCGGAGTGTACAAGTCAACACGACGGGCAAGTAAACGAAATGGCAGAAAGTACAAGTCTGGAAAGTCAAGAAACATTAAAAACGTCAAAAGAAGTTCGGAACTCGCGTGGCGCGCGAGTCTCACCTCTTGGTGACCCGCGGCCAAGTGAGTCACCTCTTGGTTAGCGCACGCGCGGGTCACCATGATCTGTCCCACGCCCAGAACTGTTCATAACGTCCAAAACGCGTTTTTTTGCTGTTTTCACGAGATTTCTTCTATTCATAACGCCCAGAACTGTTCATAACGTCCAAAACGCACGGGATTTTGATGTCCTTTTCACGGTAAAAGACTAACCGGCAACACGTGTTAGGCGTAGACTTATCTCTAATTAGGGATCGAGATAAAGTCCCCCATGCGTGTAAGGCATGGATTTCGGTGTTATTAATAACAACCTGCCACGATGTTGAATACGTGGACTTTGTCATTATTTCTTCCTGTGTTACTTGAAACACTGAAAGAAAGTTGGAAGCGCCAGAGGTGTAATATTAACTTGGCATGAATTTTCACTTAGAGTAAAATTCAGAAATTTTCTTTATTATCACTAGGATAATTCCAGAAAATATTTAATCCGTTGGGGATTTTATAATAACAACTTGCTATTCTTGTTGAAAAAGGATTAACAAGTTCATTGGGGGGTTTGACTGTTAGAGGTGTGATGTTAACCTAACAATATTTTTGTAGACCTATCGCTCCGTTGATGAGAGTCGATAAGTGAAAAGTGTTACGATCGGAGCAACTTTGAGGATCTATCGCTCTATTGACGAGAGTCGATAAGTTAATTTTGTCAGAGGTGTGATGTTAACGTGACAAGATTATGTTGCGATTGGAGCAACTTTGTGGACTTATCATCCTATTGAAGAGGATTGATAAGTGGATTGTCAGAGGTTTGGTGTTAACATGACGGGAATTTGTTGCGATCGGAGCAACTTTATGGACTTATCATCCTATTGAAGAAGATTGATAAGTGAATTTTGTCAGAGGTATGATATTAACGTGACAGGAAGATGTTACGATCAGGGCAACTTTGAGGACTTATCGCTCTATTGGGGAGAGTCGATAAGTTAATTGTCAGAGGTTTGGTGTTAACATGACAGGAATTTGTTGCGATCGGAGCAACTTTGTGGACTTATCATCCTATTGAAGAGGATTAATAAGTTATTTTTTTCAGAGGTGTGATATTAACATGACAGGAATTTGTGTTGCGATGAGAGCAACTTTGTGGACTTATCATCCTATTGACGATGATTGATAAGTGGGTTATCAGAGGTATGATATTAATGTGACAAGATTGTGTTGCGATGGGAGCAACTTTGTGGACTTATCATCCTATTGATGAGGATTGATAAGTGGGTTTTGTCAGAGGTTTAGTGTTAATGTGACAGGATTTGTGTTGCGATTGGAGCAACTTTGTGGACTTATCATCCTATTGAAGAGGGTTGATAAGTGAATTTGTCAGAGGTTTAGTGTTAACGTGATAGGATTTGTGTACTTGTAATTTGAACAAGAATTTGGGGACTAGCGTCTCGCTGGGGAGAATTGCTAAGTGAGTTTATCATCAGAAGCGATGAATTTTGATACTAAGATTTTAAAGACTTAGTGTCTTGCTGGGGAAGATTACGATTTGAGTAATTTTGAGGACTTATCATCCTATTGACAAGGATTGATAAGTTGATTGTCAGAGGTGTATTGTTAACGTGAAAAATTAGGAGTGATGCAAGCTGCATTCATACTCTGTGGGGTGATGATCGTCAGAAGTGTAATGTTAACTTGACGATGTGAAAGATTTATTACTCTTAATCCAATGGATTCCAAGTAACCAACCCCCAGTCTTGATTAAGACTTAGCAGGGGAATAAAAAGAGGTAGACAAGGTACATCACATAGTGGGGCACTATCCATGAAGTCGGAATAGAGGCACATCACCTGGTAGGCCATTATCTGATGAGTTTGACTATCAGATGTAACTGTTAACGTGATAGTTTTGTGGACCCGCCATCCTACTTGAAGAGGATTGGTGAGGAAATTTGGAGGAAAAGGACTATCAGAGGTGATGGTTAACGTGATAGTTTTGGTGGACCCGTCATCCTACTTGAAGAGGATTGGTGGGAGAATTTGGAGGAAAAAGACTATCAGAGGTAACGGTTAACGTGATAGTTTTGGTGGACCCGCCTTCCTACTTAAAGAGGATTGGTGGGAGAATTTGGAGGAAAAGGACTATCAGAGGTGACGATTAACGTGATAGTTTTGGTGGACCCGTCATCCTACTTGAAGAGGATTGGTGGGGGAATTTGGAGGAAAAGGACTATCAGAGGTATCTTGTTAACTTGATAATTGTTGGACCTGCCATCTTACTGAAGAGGATTGGTTTCAGTGGTTGTAGTATCTTCCCCTTTTGACTGAGAAGATTAGGCTTGGTCCGATTGCTCAGGAGAAGATTGGGCTTCGTCCGATTGCTCAGGTGGATCCTGCCTACTTTGTTCTTCAGCTTTGATCCTGATAATAATCTTTTGAGCCTGTTCGCCTTGAGAGATTAGTTGTCTCCAAGAACGACATTCTGCAACCCTCATTTGTGCTAGAAGGTTGGTCTGCAAGTTGTGTCGACAGGTCTCTACTAAGGTAGACTGTGTCATACCTGTCAAGCATCGAAGAGCCATGCTTCGGAACCTCTTGACGAAAGCTTTAATGGACTCCCTCTTCTTTTTCTTAGTGGCGAGGAGGGTATGGATGAAGACTTCTGTATCCTCTTCAAAGAATCTTGAAAGAAAGAGTCTCTCTAGATCTGTCCACTTTTGGATACATCCCGCAGGAAGTTTCCTGAACCATTCAAAGGCAACTCCCTTGAGGGTGCCAATGAATAATCGAGCCAGTATGGCGTCATTTGATATCACATTCCCAGTCTGTGACTTGAAATGATAGATATGTTGGTTCGGTGATCCCGTGCCGTTAAAAGTTTATAGCGTCGGGACCTCGAATTTTGGAGGATAATGGGCTGCATCCCATTCGGCAGGATAGGGTCTGACAACTCCCTCTTCTTGGAGCTCGTTTCTGTTAGAAATGGCATTGAGGCGGGCTTCCAATTCTTCCATTTTGACAGACTGGAGATTCTGTTCGTTCTCTGTCTCTCTTCCTTCATTAGAGGAAGATTCTAGGTTGTGGGCTTCTTGGTCAGAAGCCGTGTCATCAACCACTTTTTCCTTCCCTTTGCTTGTGTGAGGTCGGGATGAAGACGTTTTTCCTCTCCGGGAGGATTCTTGCCTAGGTGGCGAATCTGTCTTCT